CCCATGTATATAGTAGCACTTTGTCCCATTTATATAGTAGCACCGTGTCCCATTTATATAGTAGCACCTTGTCCCATGTATATAGTAGCACTTTGTCCCATTTATATAGTAGCACCGTGTCCCATTTATATAGTAGCACCTTGTCCCATGTATATAGTAGCACTTTGTCCCATTTATATAGTAGCACCGTGTCCCATTTATATAGTAGCACCTTGTCCCATGTATATAGTAGCACTTTGTCCCATTTATATAGTAGCACCGTGTCCCATTTATATAGTAGCACCTTGTCCCATGTATATAGTAGCACTTTGTCCCATTTATATAGTAGCACCGTGTCCCATTTATATAGTAGCACCTTGTCCCATGTATATAGTAGCACTTTGTCCCATTTATATAGTAGCACCGTGTCCCATTTATATAGTAGCACCTTGTCCCATGTATATAGTAGCACTTTGTCCCATTTATATAGTAGCACCGTGTCCCATTTATATAGTAGCACCTTGTCCCATGTATATAGTAGCACTTTGTCCCATTTATATAGTAGCACCGTGTCCCATTTATATAGTAGCACCTTGTCCCATGTATATAGTAGCACTTTGTCCCATTTATATAGTAGCACCGTGTCCCATTTATATAGTAGCACCTTGTCCCATGTATATAGTAGCACTTTGTCCCATTTATATAGTAGCACCGTGTCCCATTTATATAGTAGCACCTTGTCCCATGTATATAGTAGCACTTTGTCCCATTTATATAGTAGCACCGTGTCCCATTTATATAGTAGCACCTTGTCCCATGTATATAGTAGCACTTTGTCCCATTTATATAGTAGCACCGTGTCCCATTTATATAGTAGCACCTTGTCCCATGTATATAGTAGCACTTTGTCCCATTTATATAGTAGCACCGTGTCCCATTTATATAGTAGCACCTTGTCCCATGTATATAGTAGCACTTTGTCCCATTTATATAGTAGCACCGTGTCCCATTTATATAGTAGCACCTTGTCCCATGTATATAGTAGCACTTTGTCCCATTTATATAGTAGCACCGTGTCCCATTTATATAGTAGCACCTTGTCCCATGTATATAGTAGCACTTTGTCCCATTTATATAGTAGCACCGTGTCCCATTTATATAGTAGCACCTTGTCCCATGTATATAGTAGCACTTTGTCCCATTTATATAGTAGCACCGTGTCCCATTTATATAGTAGCACCTTGTCCCATGTATATAGTAGCACTTTGTCCCATTTATATAGTAGCACCGTGTCCCATTTATATAGTAGCACCTTGTCCCATGTATATAGTAGCACTTTGTCCCATTTATATAGTAGCACCGTGTCCCATTTATATAGTAGCACCTTGTCCCATGTATATAGTAGCACTTTGTCCCATTTATATAGTAGCACCGTGTCCCATTTATATAGTAGCACCTTGTCCCATGTATATAGTAGCACTTTGTCCCATTTATATAGTAGCACCGTGTCCCATTTATATAGTAGCACCTTGTCCCATGTATATAGTAGCACTTTGTCCCATTTATATAGTAGCACCGTGTCCCATTTATATAGTAGCACCTTGTCCCATGTATATAGTAGCACTTTGTCCCATTTATATAGTAGCACCGTGTCCCATTTATATAGTAGCACCTTGTCCCATGTATATAGTAGCACTTTGTCCCATTTATATAGTAGCACCGTGTCCCATTTATATAGTAGCACCTTGTCCCATGTATATAGTAGCACTTTGTCCCATTTATATAGTAGCACCGTGTCCCATTTATATAGTAGCACCTTGTCCCATGTATATAGTAGCACTTTGTCCCATTTATATAGTAGCACCATGTCCCATTTAGATAGTAGGACCTTGTCCCATTTAGATAGTAGCACCTTGTCCCATTTATATAGTAGCACTTTGTCCCATTTATATAGTAGCACCTTGTCCCATTTATATAGTAGCACTTTGTCCCATTTATATAGTTGCACCATGTCCCATTTATATAGTAGCACTTTGTCCCGTTTTGATAGGTGATGTGGTTCCAGAGGTAGCATGGTGGACAAAGTGCCCCCTTCCCTGTACTGCTGTTCGACCACGCTGCTCTGTAGAGGACGAATAACTTATTAGCGCTGAATAACAGTCCTGGTCTCCAACACCATGAGGTGGGGCATGTCGGCGCTTCTCCTCTACACATTGAAACACTCACACAGACTTCACAGGGAATGGTAGCAATTGAGCTGCACAATAGGAATGGCCACAAATCGGGCTTCTTTGTGGGGTGGAGCAAAAACAACCAATAATAACAGGTATGAAGATCTTATTTTCTTGAGAACCGGTTCTCCAGTGATGTAAAGTGGTGGACAGTGTACTCTGCGTGGGTGGGATCAGTACATGACTGACCAATAGTAAAATGTTAGCTACGCTGAAAGGCCACAGACCTTCTCCATAGGAAAGGCCAGCATGGAAATATATTGATGGTATCAATTCGTTTTAGGCTTTTACACATTTATATAACCCGATGTCCATCAAGGTGTTGGCTCTGCACCATGTAGCATCGGAATAAACATGGGCACCAGTGTCCAAGAGTCTCAGGATGTCTGTTGGAGGATGAGTAGGATAAGTGGCCAGAAAATGAGAGATTTTGGCACATGTGGCCACTATGACAAAGCAGAGAATTTGGAGGGAGGACTTTTCCCAAATGAAAGTGACAACAGAGCTGGTTTATCTCTGAGAGGTCCACTCTACATGTGTAAAGCACTCAGCTGAAGAATGTCTACATGTGTCCTCCATCCATAGCAAACAACGTAGGGCAAACACTGCCTATCTATAGTAAACTGCAGACTTGTCATGTGGGGACATGTCTTGCAGCCGGAGTGGCACCCTGCCTGTAGCCATCATGGAAGAGAATTAGGAGCCATGTAAACATTTCTATGCAGGCTCTAGGGGCAGAAGATCTCTCACGTCCTCTAGTTCTCGGGGAGAAATGTGTCCAGACTTAAGGTGGGTGGGCTTAGGTCCCTCAGCAATTGTACAATCAGATTGGAGCATGTGCAGACACTTTAAGAGTATCTAAAACTTCAGGGTTTGATTCCTGCTGGGAAGCCCGCCCTCTCTATTTATCCCGGCGGCCTTTGTCACCATGACAGAAAGTGATGGGAGATCCAAATTTTTACAGTTGTCACTAGAGCAAGAGGGGGAATCGTCCAATGAGGACACCTGTCGTGTCAACTTATCTCATCCCACTTTCTGCTATGTCTCCAAGACTTGTACTGAAGAGCCGAGTGGTTAGACTGGCTTGTACTGAAGAGCATAGTGGTTGAACTGACTTGTACTGCAGAGCAGAGTGGTTAGACTGACTTGTACTGCAGAACAGAGTGGTTAGACTGACTTGTACTGCAGAGCATAGTGGTTAGACTGACTTGTACTGCAGAGCAGAGTGGTTAGACTGACTTGTACTGCAGAGCATAGTGGTTAGACTGACTTGTACTGCAGAGCAGAGTGGTTGGATTGATTTGTACGGCAGATCAGAGTGGTTGGACTGACTTGTACTGCAGAGCAGAGTGGTTGGATTGATTTGTACTGCAGAGCAGAGTGGTTGGACTGATTTGTACTGCAGAGCAGAGTGGTTGGACTGACTTTTACTGCAGAGCAGAGTGGTTGGATTGATTTGTACTGCAGAGCAGAGTGGTTGGACTGACTTGTACTGCAGAGCAGAGTGGTTGGATTGATTTGTACTGCAGAGCAGAGTGGTTGGATTGATTTGTACTGCAAAGCAGAGTGATTGAACTGACTTGTACTGTAGAGCAGAGTGGTTTACCCTGTTGCAGACATATACATAAGCCAGGGGTAGGCAACCCCGGCACTCCAACTGTTGCAGAACTACAACTCCCATGAGGCATTGCAAGGCTGACAGCCACAGGCATGGCTCCCAGAAGCACGATGGCATATGTAGTTTCGCCACAGCTGGAGTGCTAAGGTTGCTTACCCCTGCCCTAAACCTTTCAGTTTCACCATTAACTCATTGATAAACTTATCCTGCAGACTAATATTTGCAGCCAGATAGCATGTGACACGGACCCGGCTCACTCATTGCAGTGGTAGATAATGGTTGTTGTGATTGTTTCTTCCTATAAATCTAATGCAGAATCACAAATATAATATCACCCCACCCCTGCAGTGTGGGGTGCACGGGGAGAGTGGGGGTTATTGGGGGCTGGTGAGATTTGGGTGTGATCTAGTGTTCCCACACGAGTGCTGATGACTCCTGACACAATGTACAGAGGTGATGGAACGCTGAGACTTCTCACTTCCATAGGAGTTCATTACAGGATTACACTTCTACGCCACAAGCTCTGAGATGTTCCCGGTTTAGTGAATAGGAATATTTGTCTAGAGAGCCGAACAAATACAAGAGCCGTGTGTGCTCATACTTGAATCTTAGGGGGCATAATTACAAAGAAGAGAATGTGACATTCACCGAACATGCACTGGTGGGGAATCAATCACTGCCATTTAGAACACATGCACCAGGAAGATTTATCTGCAGTGAATGTTAGATGAGCTGGTTTATAAATAAGCCCCTTGGTGAGCTTCATGTATTTCCTCCTGATCTGTGCAGTGAGACTTCCTGTAATAAACACCTGTCACTGCTGCTTTCTCTCCTTGTGCAGGGTAACTGGTCTTGTCTCCACCCCCCTCCTGTAGTTTCCTGTAGTAGGTGGAGCCTTCCTGTAATAAAGACTGCTCACTGCTGCTCTCTGTCCTTGTGCAGGATGACTGGTCTTGTGTCTGCCCCCTCCTGTAATAAAGACCATTCATTGCAGCTCTCTCTCCTTGTGCAGGGTGACAACCAATTCAAATTTGCCATTCACTGAACATGAGATCTGATTGGTTTTATGCCTTTTTTACTTTGCTGTTGGATATTACAGAACTGGCATCCTCTGTGTATAAGACATAGGATTCTACTGACAGCAGTGTCTTCCTGTCCCGTTCCCTCCACAGATTCTTCACCATCAGAAGTGACCGGTATCGGCGCCGTCAACAGTATTGGGATCAACTCTTTGTGTTCCATCTGCGGCGACAGAGCGACGGGGAAACATTACGGGGCGTCCAGCTGCGATGGCTGCAAGGGGTTTTTCAGGAGGAGCGTCAGGAAGAATCACATGTACTCCTGCAGGTAAGATGGCTTCCCCAACACCCTGACTATACATAATTCCCCTGGTCTGTGTAGAAGAACTAGAGAGCAAGGCTTTTATCCCATCAGGCAAAAGCCATATGTGCAATGCGAAAAGCCATGGCAACCTAAAACAGATTTCATTGGTGTGACGTGAAAATGTTGGGCTTGTAAAGGAGCCACAAAGAGATATGGGGGAATTAACAAAGAACGGCACCAATGCGGCAAGAGATGGCTAATAGGGATGAGCTTAGGTTTGGACGTGGTGGGAACCTGAGTGCCTCCGAACAAGGAAGTGCCCAATCATTTGTGGGGGGGGCAATATCCATCCTACAGCTGCATGTAAACAAAGGGGCGGGATGTGTGTGCTAATGTCATTGACCTTATATGGCCATATAGCTATATTAGGTGAATGTCATTTACCAAATATAGGCATGTAGCCATATAAGGTCAACAGCATCACTGCACCCCCCCTTTTGCTTTTGTCAAGCTGATTTCATGCTACTTCCATGTTCAGGATGGGCTCCTTCCAGGTTCAGAGGAGCTCAGGCTTGGACCGGGCTCAACCCTAATGGCCAATAACTCAAATTGCTTGAATGTAATTGAATCTGCACCATGCTAGTTGGAAGTTTCTGATATCTACTAAACCATCCATACGTATGCAGGGCCGGATTTCCCACAAGGCCACCGAGGCCCGGCCTTGGGGCAGCAGGGAGTAGAGGGGAAGCAGGGGTGTGGAATTCCTATCACCCGAAGCCTGGGACATGCAGTTCCCGGGCGCTGGGTAGGTAGTTGTTTTCTACATTTAGCCCTGCTTTGGGCAACTAGAGCTAAATGTACAGCGGGGGAGCCGCCGCTTGTTTTATACAAGTGATCCCGGAGATGTTGCCGAGATCACTTGTATGCAGCCTGCCGGTCTGGTTGCCATTCTCCATTGGGGAAGGGCGGTTGGCAGGGAGGGGGGCGCATTGAGGAACCTGGCCTTGGGGCAGCAGAAAGAGTCAATCCGGCCCTGTACGTATGCTGGACTGCGGTCCTCTCTTTTATTATTATTTAAACAAAACATGTGGGCAAATATAAAACACCGCCTTTAATTCCAGTTATGCAGTCATTAAATAAAACTATCATTAAATGTATTATAAATAGTACCCCAGCCATAAGCAGGATTCAGGCTGGGCCAGGAAGGGGCAGCAATGTGAGCTCATGTATTACATTGCACAGGGATCTGACTCCTATCCTATCAGAGGCAGGGGCGGTCCTTGACCAAGCTTTAAGGCTTTAACTGCAGTAGAGAAAAGTGTGGTCAGCACCAGGCTGTGCTGTCTCATAGACATGACTGGATCAGAAAACCACTGGAACAAAATGATCCATTTTTAGACTTAGCTATGTGCCTTCACTTCCTCTTTGAATCCTTGTTTTGTTCCTGCGGGATGCAATTATGGGAGTGGAAGTGTTTTTAAAGTAATTGGAGAGCACTTTGGCCTTTTCATTCCAAAGGAAAACAAAAAACAGATCCCATAGCGTGCTCTGCCGCCTTCTTGAGTGACAGCTGATTCGGATCGCTATTTCCGATCCTCTGCGTATACACAAGCAGCAGCAGAGCAGGGGGGAGGGCAGTTGGGGTGGTGGTGGCACACTAAAGGGGGGGTGCCTCTGCCTCATCTCCCTGCCCAGCTTACCCAGTTCTAGCTTTGGCTCCAGCTCCAGGACAGTAATGTCACTGGTTGCCAGCCATGAGCTAAGTGGGGCACCAGCCAGAGCATCCCAGGTAGCTAAGAGCTGGGCAGGGAGATGTGTATGGCCCTTACACATTGGCATATTGTGCAGCAGAGTGGCCATGCCGCTCTGCCTGACCCCCCCCCCCCCCAATGTGACCCAAAGAGATGCCACCTGAAGCAACAGTTTCGGACTGCCACATTAAAGGGACGGCCCTGCATATGTATTACAGCTGTAAACCTACACCCAACGATGTCCTTGTCATTTCAGGTTCAGCAGACAGTGCGTGGTGGATAAAGACAAGAGGAATCAGTGTCGTTACTGCAGATTAAAGAAATGTTTCCGGGCTGGTATGAAGAAAGAAGGTGAGAGGTCCACAGTGTCCTTCCCATCATGTTGTTTCAGTTCAGGGCTGATTCAAATCTATGCGTTACATGCGTTGATGCATTGCAGAGACATTCATTTTGAATAGCTCCTCAACACACTAAGGCAATGCAGATACGTTGCAACACACTGCAAGGCACCATAGTTCAGAAATGTTGTGACATATCCCATAATATGAACTTTTGCGCACGTCAGAAGAATTCTATGGGCTGCCTTAATTTGCAACACATATGTAAATGGGCCATTAAAGTGGACCTGTCACTTTGTAGTATGCATAATGCTGGGAAGAAGCCGGGTTGGAGAAGAGTGCATACATTATTTTCATAAAGGTTTATAGCGCATTTTTGAAGAATGTCTTTTCATTTTTTACTTTAGCCGTGCTTAGATCCTTCCCCTATCGACTACATAATCTCAAGTCTATGGGCACGCTTAGCTTGGTAGTCATCTGACCATCAGATGTACCTGATCTAGCAAGCTTGGCATAAATGGTATGATAACAGGAAGCATTGCTCCGGATTTCAGGCTAGCAATAGTTGGGCTGGCTCCCTGGGGGGGTGATGACAAGTGCCTATGGCAGTCAGAAAAGCTTGTTATCACAGAGCAAAAATGTTCCACCTTGCTGGATAATCTTCCTGCGACTGAGTCAAATCAGAGAAATAAAGTGTGTGCCACTATCAGTAATTTGGCTCAGTTTACTACACCTGCCCCATTGTTTTTTGGGGTCAGAACCACCACCCAATCGCCTTATTTACTACCCATGTGGATCCAACCTTACATCTTCACTCATGGCAGCGGAAGACTTCCCTTCTCTGGACTGAGATTAGACTTTTACAGCTCAGGCAGCATTTTATTTTGGGTTGACATTTAAAGCATTGCTTACTTTTATCTGGTCATTTTTGGCCATCAGCATCTAGACATCTTCAAACTAGCTAATAACTAATGCACTTTCTGATTGGTTCCTTTGGACAGTCATGTGCACAGACTTGAGTTGGTAGTCACATTTTGACCCCAATGTTTTTCCCAGATTATAGATCAATGGTATTTCACTGACATGTACTCGCCCAGCTTCTTCCTCCCAGTGACCCTGGAAGTCTTGTTCACTTCATAGGGCAATCATTCTGTCTGTGAGATGGTCCTGTTGACCTGAAAACCTAGAGGTCACCCCATCCTCCCTCCTGGTGGGAGCTGTCATTATAAGGCATGACTCCTAGTGTTCTAGACGCACTACAACATGAGTCTACATGAGATTTGAGGAAATATGGACACCAGCACTCCAATAGCAAATAGAATACGTCTATTTAATGACGTACATGCAAAAAGGCATAACACACTTAGGCCTGGTTCACACCTGGGCGTTTTACAGCGCGTTTCTACACGCTGTAAAACGCTCAACATGTGAAAACCAATGATTGTCTATGGGCATGGTTCCCACCTGGGCATTTTATAGCGCGTAGGAACGCGCTGTAAAACGCCCTACGCCCAAAGAAGTACAGGAGCTTCTTTGGGGCGTATTTGTCACGCGTATCCATTAGGATACAGCGGATAGTCCTCGGAAACCCGCGTTTGTTGTGCGCTTCTTTTACCGCAAAACGCTGTAAAAACGTGCGGCATGAAACGCGCGGCAAACGCGCATATTTCGTACGCCTAGGTGTGAACCCAGCCTAAGTGCAACATTTCGGGGTCTCACAGGATCCCCTTCATCAGGCAGAACAAGTACATGAGATTTGGACACTTTAGTACCAGAGTCCACAGTGCATGGCATTGTCGCACCACATACACAATACATTCTATATACCTTCCTTGGTACCTGATTGGCATTTTAGGGTTATATGTGATGTCGTGACAAGACAGAATAAAAATGAGAATGTTGGCACAACATTTTTATTTTAGTGTAACTTAAGCCCCAACTTTTTTTTCCATTTTTGGATAGAGAGGAACGTTGAGAAGCCCTATCAGATGTCATTTCCTGCCTCTGATGCCATGAACAAGAAGGGGAAAGGCATGTCCTCAACGGTGACAATACTTTCACCAAGAACAGAAGGGAAGATCTCCAATAGGAACACACAAAAAAGGGTTTTGTTGCTGCGTCCTTGTTGGAGAATTACTCTCACTTCCTGTCATGGTGATAATGTTGTCACTTGGCCAGTGAGATGAAATCTCCCCAACTGAGCCCCAAACATCAATAAAACCCTTACTGATCAACATTTTCCCTTTTGGCTGGTGCTAAATGACGTTGTACAAAGGGACCTCAGTGAACCACTTGTTGGGCTTGACACTGTACTAATTAACTTAGGCTGCAGACCTTGGTCCTGTCAATGGCTCCATGATGCAGAAAACTACTAGGCTGCTACTTTGCTCTTGTTGCTTTAAAGCTGGCCATAGATATCAGATGTGAGAATGTTCTATGAACATCTATCTCCTAAGCATGCATTAATGTCTATGGTTGGGGGGGGTATAGAGAAACAAAAGGAACTAGCTGAAGATAATCCACCCAACCTATCACTAATTGGTTGGTTGGGAGTGCCTGCTACTGTATTCCACAGGATTGTTACTTGATGAAGTTGAATGAGTAGATCATGTTACAATCATCTCATATCTATAGGTACTTGAGCTCTGGGTGTCAAAGTCCTCAACATTTTCCCTTCTGGCTGGTGCTAAATGATGTTGTGCAAAGTGGCCCCATTGAAGCACTTGTTGTGCTTGACACTGTTCTAATCAACTTAGGCTGCAGCCCTTGGTCCTGTCAATGGCTCCATGGTGCAGGAGACCACTAGGTTGTTACTTAGCTCTTGTTGGTTCAAAGCTGGCCATAGATATAGATGAGATAATGTTCTATGAACATCTATCTCCTATGCATGTATTATTGTCTATGGGTGGGTGGGGAGTAATCAGCGAAACAAAAGGAACTAGCTGAAGGTAATCCACCCAACCTACCACTAATTGGTTGACTGGGAGTGATCACTAATTGGTTGGCTGGGAGTGATCACTAGTTGGTTGGCTGGAAGTGATCACTAGTTGGTTGGCTGGGAGTGATCACTAGTTGGTTGGCTGGGAGTGATCACTGATTGGTTGGCTAGGAGTGATCACTGATTGGTTGGCTGGGAGTGATCATTAATTGGTTGGCTGGGAGTGATAACTAATTGTTTGGCTGGGAGTGATCACTATTTGGTTGGCTGGGAGTGATCACTAATTGTGTGGTTGGGAGTGCCTGCATTCCACAGGATTGATATATGATGAAGTTGAATGAGTAGATCATGTGACAATCATCTCCTATCTATAGGTACTAGAGCTCTGGGTGTCTAAGTGTAATGCATGCGGCCTGCTGTCCCTGTGTCATAGCTGACCACTGTGTTTCCATTTTAGCTGTACAAAATGAACGAGATCGGATAAGCACGCGGAGGTCGAGTTACGAAGACAGCAGCCTGCCTTCAATTAATGTATTAATACAAGCAGAAGTCCTATCACAACAGGTGGGTGACATATTTATAACAATTCAGCTTCAGCGTCAATCAAATGACCGGGCCTCAGTGTGAAAAGCACAGGTGCTTTTTAAGTGGCCTACCAAACCCACCAGCTTTGCAGTATTTATGACCACAAATAAATCCTATTTACAGTATTATAAAGAACTGCAATTACTTTTAGAAGTATGGTTATTTTATCTAGTTTAAATCAGTTAAATACTTTCCAGATGCATCAAAAGAAAAGGTGAACAAGGTCTTACAGTTGTTTTTTTCTTTAAAAAGCAGCCACAGCCTTAGTAGAAAAGCCTGTCCACTGCCAGTGTGCTGCAGAGAAGGACCCTTGTTCTCTGTGTGGAATCAGTGGTCTCTCAGCAGAGTTCCGACATACCCCCTGCTGAGTCATTGCTAGAGCTCCCCAATCAGCAAAGCTCATATGCTTACTGCTGATTATGTACCTCACTTCTGTGAGGTGAAGGCTGGACACTCAGAAAGGTTAGTTTTGGTGACTCTGCATGTGCGCTGTTTACTTTTGGTGAATTTGTTAAATCCATCCCCGCTGCAGGATGGAGATTAACGACCTAGGCAAGCAAGCTTAGTAAATCAGGCCCTAAGTCTAGCGCTTTGTGATGCCCCTGCAGACCTCATGATGTGGGTCATGGCTTATTGATTAGAAATGGTTGTTGTTTTAGGGCTGTTTGTTTAAGCTTTTACCACTGAGTACACATAGTGAGCAAAGCCGGCTCCTGACATACATGGGAACATCCTTCACCCTTTATTTATAATGGAAAAGCGGGGTCTCTGGATGGCTGGGCTAAAGCTTATACAATTAATAAAAAGCCTCAGTCGGTATTTGTTTTAAGGGGATCTGTAATGGTTTTATTTTTTCTTTATTATATTTAATAGTAAAAATGTTTTTTTTGTTGTTGAAATCAGACAAATGTGAAATATTGCATTTGCATAGTTTATATTAAACCCCTGCAGACAGCAGTCGTGGAGAACCTGTGCTGTCCAGAGATCTGAAGGAGTCAGAGGTGGACACAGAGACCTGAGTAGGGTTGCCACCTGTCCAGGATTCACTCAGACAGTCCAGTTTCGGAGTCTTTCATACTAGACATCTGCCAACAATCAGGCCTCGAATGTTTGATGCTGACAGCTTTCCACCAAAAGTCAAAATATGGTTGAATATTTGGTTGACTTGAACTGAATAGGCTCCACGGTTGGATGGGGATTCTCTCTCTTTGAATTATTGCTTATATGTTGGAGATGAGAACATTGGACTTTTCTTTGCAGATAACCTCATCAGTGACCATGCTGAACGCAGACATCCGAGGGAAGAAGATAGCCAGCATAACAGACGTCTGCGATTCCATGAAGCAGCAGCTTCTGGTCCTTGTGGAATGGGCCAAGTACATTCCAGCGTTCTGTGAACTTCCCCTAGACGATCAGGTGGGTTTTTAACTCTAGGATGTTAGTGGTCACATAACTCCTTCATCCCTCTCAGTACTGGAAGCCGATAGGGCCATAGAGTGGTGACTTGTATCAGGATTTGTAATGACATACTGCTACCTTCTGTTTTAATAAAGCATTTTCATATGCCATAACATTTTATGGATAACTTTTTGGTTACCTTTTTCCATAACTTACCATAACTTTAAATAGCACTCAAACAAAATGATATGTTAGGCATTGCCCATGTTTTTCATTCAAGGTTTTAGGGTATTTCAAGATGCTAGTGTTAAGCCCCTCCTAAGTCCTACCAACTTATAATAACTAAGATCACTCAATACCCACTAAGCTTGCTCCTTATGATTGTGGCTGCTGTAGAGAGTTTGTGACAGAATTTTGCATCCCTATGTATGATGGAGAGAGAATATCGATATCTGCTCTCCCCAGGACAGCTGTTACAGCAACACCCCCTGGCAGTGTGGCCAGCTCACCCAAGGCACAGATTCTAAGCTCCAGCCAGCTCTCACCAGAGCATCTGATGGTGGAGATGGGTTTCACTGAGTGCTGGTACCAGGTCATGGCCATTAGAATCGCCCTACCAGGGAATGAGTGGGGGGCTTGGATGCTACGATATGGAGAAGGTACACCAGGTAGTGACTAGAGAATGGTCAGGTCCAGGCAGAGGTGGGCAAGGCAGCAGAAGATTCATCAGGACAATCCAGGTAAGCACCAAGCAAGGCAGCAGAAGAGAGGTCATGATAATCCAGATCAGCACCAGGCAAGGCAGCAGGAGAGAGGTCAGGACAGTCCAGGTCAGCACCAGGCAAGGCAGCAGAAGAAAGGTCACGATAATCCAGATCAGCACCAGGCAAGGCAGCAGGAGATAGGCCAGGACAACCCAGCTCAGCACCAGGCAAGTCAGCAGGAGAGAGGTCAGGACAGTCCAGGTCAGCACCAGGCAAGTCAGCAGAAGATAGGTCAAGAAAATCCAGGTCGGCACCAGGCAAGGCAGCAGAGTATGGTCAGATCAAGCAGCAAATGTGGCGGGGAGACAGCAGACAAGAGAGTAGTTAGGTCAATCTGGGGCAGCAATAAAACAGGAAATCAGTATTATAGCATAGCTCTATTGCACAAAGCAGGGTAGCTGCAAGAAGACCCAGCACCAGATGTGTCTGTGGACCATTTTTTTGCCTAGATATTTAATGAAGGCCCCATATGACCAGATCATTGACGTTTGACCAAGACAAAAGTAAAATCTGTTGAAGACTCTTCTGCCCAGAACTTATGTTCAGAGGTCTCACCACTAGAATCTCGAGAATTCTACCAAGCTGCTGAGTGATCCATTCTGCTGACCTCAGCAACAACTAAAATATAAATATTGAGTGGTACTGACCACCTTAATCCCACTCTTCAGATACCTTCTGTGTGCTCTTGTTAGATCTATGATTGCATAAACAGATAACTAATTCCATCACTTCAAAGAGACCGTCCACTCTAAACTTTCATGTGTTTCAGCTCTCCAGAGGTGGGTGCCAACAGCTAGCCAGATTCACACGTATTGGTGACACTAATTATTAAACGCTGTCCTTCACAGGCTGTCACATCAGCTGCCCGGTGACAGATCCACTCATTAACCTCTGTGTCTTGAGTCAGCTTTGATGTTTAACTGGGGATAGTGACAATGCTTAACTGAGTTAAAGGACCAAGTCATCCCAGCGTGTAAATTTTATCTAGTCTTTTATATTTTAACTCACCTGGTTCCTTTCCAAGCTTCCTTCATTCCTGCTGAGGAACCTACGTTGGCTTCCCTAACAGCTATCAGTGGATGGCCAAAGTTGCTGTAAACTGTAACCGAATGGTACTTAGTTTCCTAAAATGTAATCAATTGCCTTTGTTTTTTTATAAAAATACTTTTTTATTCTTTGTTCCTTCTCTGTTCTAATGATCTCCTGCAACTTCTTTGCAGTCATCTTGTGTCCACATGCACTCAGGGCCGGATTTACTCCCTCTGCTGCCCCAAGGCCCGGTTCCTCAATGGTCCCCCCTAGCTGCCAAACCCCACCCCCAATGGAGAATGGCAGACCTGCAGGCTGCATACAAGTGATCTCAGCGGCATCGCTGAGATCACTTGTGCAAAACAAGCGGCGGATTCCCCGCTGTACATTTAGCTCTGCTTGCCCAAAACGGGGCTAAATGTAGAAAACAACTAAGCGTCCGTAACTACATGTCCTGGGAGTCAGGAGATAGGAATTCCACACCCCTGCTGCCCCTCTACTCCCTGCTGCCCCAAGGCCGGGCCTTGGATGGCCTTGTGGGAAATCTGGCCCTGCATGCACTCCACCAATGGCCACATGGTATTTCTTAGGGGGTTTCCTGATGGTGACAACAGTGGACAATGCCTGCATAATGTGCACTGAAACAGCCACTTGAAGTCTCCATCAGAAACCACTGTGGTAGGGTGACAACGCAGGAGCACGGGCACAGAGTGTTTACTCTATAACAGGAAGTGACCAAACAAGGGTCTTCAAGGCAGGGTCACCAGGTTTTATTCTAAATTAAGCTTCAGATTTTAAATGATTAAAATGTTATAACCTGTAAGCTTTAACATTTTATGTCACTTCAAAAGTCGTTTTTAGAGAGATTGTATTTACTTATTTAAAGGGCCAGTCTACTTAAAACTAGTGGATCTCTAGTGAACTATTGTAACATGTCATGAGAGCTCTCAGGAGGTTTGGACACCAGTTGGTGATGGCAAATGACCACAGGTGGAAGAATGCATTGTTGGAATGTTTCTGCTGGTCCTGAACTGTAGCCTGTTATAAAAGTAATAAGACATCTTATTTTGTATCTTTTTTCTTCCTAGGTGGCGCTGTTACGTGCACACGCTGGAGAGCACTTACTACTGGGGGTTGCCAAGAGGTCAATGATCTACAAAGATATTTTACTCCTAGGTGAGCACCACACACATTTACAGATTTCCAGGGAATTAGCTGGATACAGGGCCTGGGGCTGGAATGTATGGGGATGTTTCCCCCTGCAGGGTCAATTCACTAACGTATAATGCATGTTAGATTTTCATTACCGTGCACTATTTCTTCATTTTTCACAATCAAAAATTATATTTTCTAAAAAAGGTTTTATCACAGAGGTCAGATGAAATTATTGCACCCATGGTGAGATAGTTTATATGTTAAATTAGGGAGTGTGTCCATTCCAGGTGTTGGGGGGGGGGTCACATGAAGAATGGAGGCCACCAGGCAGAATAGTTTACATGGGTGCAAAAAATGAAAAAAGGGCCTCAGTCATGAAGGGGTTAATATTTATGCTTGTGAATATTGACACAAATTATAATGAGATAATGGAGTACTCTCTCTCTCTCTCTCTCTCCCTCCCTTCTTGTCTCTCTCTCTCTCCCCCTCCCTTTTTCTCTCTCTCTCTCCCTCATCTTGTCTCTCTCATCCCCTCCCTACCTTTTTCCCTCTCTCTCTCTCTACCTTCTTCTCTCTCTCCCCCCCTTCTTCTCTCTCTCTCTCTTTCCCCCTCCCTTCCTTCATGTCTCTCTCTCACCCCTCCCTCCCTTCTTGCATTTCTCCCTGGGGAGCTGGTCTCTCTCTCTTTCACTCCCTCTCTTTCTTCTTGTCTCTCTCTCTTTCACTCCCTCTCTTCCTTCTTGTCACTCTCTCTTTCACTCCCTCTCTTCCTTCTTGTCTCTCTTTCACTCCCTCTCTTCCTTCTCGTCTCTCTCACTCCCTCTCTTCCTTCTTGTCTCTCTCACTCCCTCTCTTCCTTCTTGTCTCTCTCACTCCCTCTCTTTCTTCTTGTCTCTCTCTTTCACTCCCCCTCTTCCTTCTTGCCTCTCTCTCTTTCACTCCCCTCTCTCTCTTCTTTTCCCTCTCTCTCTTTCACTCCCTCTCTTCCTTCTTGTCTCTCTCTCTTTCACTCCCCCTCTTCCTTCTTGCCTCTCTCTCTTTCACTCCCCTCTCTCTCTTCTTTTCCCTCTCTCTCTCTTTCATTCCCTCTCTTCCTTCTTATTTCTCTCTCTCTTTCACTCCCTCTCTTCCTTCTTGTCTCTCTCTCTCTTTCACTCCCTCTCTTCCTTCTTGTCTCTCTCTCACTTTCACTCCCTCTCTTCCTTCTTGTCTCTCTCACTCCCTCTCTTCCTTCTTGTCTCTCTCACTCCCTCTCTTCCTTCTTGTCTCTCTCACTCCCTCTCTTTCTTCTTGTCTCTCTCTTTCACTCCCTCTCTTCCTTCTTGTCTCTCTCTCTTTCACTCCCTCTCTTCCTTCTTGTTTATCTCTCTTTCACTCCCTCTCTTTCTTCTTGTCTCTCTATCTTTCACTCCCTCTCTTCCTTCTTGTCTCTCTCTCTTTCACTCCCCCTCTTCCTTCTTGCCTCTTGCATCACATACATTTTTTAAACTATTACTTTTTTTCCACTTTTGGACACAGTGTAGAGGGATTAGAAACTCTGTCAGGTTTTTATTGCTATTATTTGCAGTCACCAAAACAGGAAGTGAGCAAAATCTTTCCACTGGGGTTGCAGACTGATTGACTGGCTTTTCCTGGGTGCCATTGAACAGCCAGGCAATCAACAATTCTCAGATAGCATCCGTCTTATCTTCCTGTAATATAGTCTTCAGGTCCCCATAAGTTATTAAGAGACTGGATCATCACTGTGCTGTACATAGTCTGTACAGAGAGCAGAGCTGTAGGAGGGGCTTAGCAGTCCCCACCCACTACAGGCTGCCTGCAGGAAACTACAGGAAGAGGCGGAGACAAGATCAGTCCTTCTGCATAAGGAGAGAGAGCAGCAGTGACTGGTCTTTATTCCTGTACAAAAGAATAAAATCATGCTGTATTACAGCACAGATCTGGAAGTACACAAAGCTCACCAACATACACAAAGAACACACATGGCTCTCATATTTAGATAATATTCACTTATCCCGGAGTTCAGCTTTAATTTACCTTGCTTTGGTCTAAAAGAAAAGTGTCTGTGCTTCTTTACTACAGGAAATGACCGAGTCATACCAAGGAACTGCCCTGAACTTGAAGTGGGGCGAGTAGCTGTGCGAATCCTGGACGAGCTGGTATTTCCATTCCAGGAGCTGCAGATGGACGATAACGAATACGCCTGTTTAAAAGCAATCATATTTTTTGACCCTGGTAGGTATCAACACTATGGCACGTATAATTGTGAACGCCTATGTTGAAGGGGGGGTCTTATTACAAGTGAGTGTGGCCTTGCAAATGTGAAGGTTGGTGTCAGACATTTCCCTATTTGAAGGTCGGTGTCAGACCTTTCCCTATTTGAAGGTCGGTGTCAGTCCTTTCCCTATTTGAAGGTCGGTGTCAGTCCTTTCCCTATTTGAAGGTCGGTGTCAGACCTTTCCCTATTTGAAGGTCGGTGTCAGTCCTTTCCCTATTTGAAAGTCGGTGTCAGTCCTTTCCCTATTTGAAGGTCGGTGTCAGACATTTCCCTATTTGAAGGTCGGTGTCAGACCTTTCCCTATTTGAAGGTCGGTGTCAGACCTTTCCCTATTTGAAGGTCGGTGTCAGACCTTTCCCTATTTGAAGGTCGGTGTCAGTCCTTTCCCTATTTGAAGGTCGGTGTCAGTCCTTTCCCTATTTGAAGGTCGGTGTCAGACCTTTCCCTATTCGAAGGTTGGTGTCAGAACTTTCCCTATTCGAAGCTTGGTGTCAGGCCTTTCCGTATTTGAAGGTCGGTGTCAGACCTTTCCCTATTCGAAGGTCGGTGTCAGAACTTTCCCTATTCGAAGCTTGGTGTCAGACCTTTCCCTATTTGAAGGGCGGTGTCAGACATTTCCCTATTTGAAGGTCGGTGTCAGACCTTTCCCTATTTGAAGGTCGGTGTCAGACATTTCCCTATTTGAAGGTCGGTGTCAGACCTTTCCCTATTTGAAGGTCGGTGTCAGACCTTTCCCTATTTGAAGGTCGGTGTCAGACCTTTCCCTATTTGAAGGTCGGTGTTAGACCTTTCCCTATTTGAAGGTCGGTGTCGGACCTTTCCCTTTTCTACCCAAAAGAGAAGAACGTGGTCTTGATGGAATTCTGGTGTAAATAAGCAATGTTTAGGAATAACGTTTTTTTTTCCTGTTGTCAAGATGCCAAAGGACTGAGTGATCCCACGAAAATCAAGAGGATGAGATATCAGGTCCAAGTGAGCCTGGAGGATTATATCAACGACCGACAGTACGACTCTCGGGGGAGGTTCGGGGAGCTGCTCCTCCTGCTGCCCACCCTGCAGAGCATCACCTGGCAGATGATCGAGCAGATTCAATTCGTCAAACTCTTTGGAATGGCGAAGATTGACAACCTGCTGCAGGAGATGCTGCTGGGAGGTCAGTATAGCGGCTGAATATCTGCCAACCGTTTTATTACATTAAAAGATGAGTATGGGTGTGAACCTCAGCAATGAGCTCCTCATATCTGCTCCCTTATGGTCTGTGTTGATGAGTTCCAAAACACCTGATGAAGAAGAAGGTATAAAGGTGGAGAACTGTCATTCTGAACCTGACTTCATTACCTAGGAAGTCATTGATCTAGAACAAGAATGTGACCAGTGAAGAATTAACTCCGGTCCTACATACTTGGTATAGGTCAGTGACTTTCTAGGTAGTGAAGCCAGTTAGAAATCAGGCATGCACTGTACCTTTAACAACCTAGTTCTGAATGGCAATCCCCATTTTGTCCCGAGGATTACCAGCTACCATCTTTATGTCTCTGGCCAGCATGACTCTGTTGTACGTGTACCGTACTACAACCAGCACTGACATCCATCACATCTCCATGTTCTTCTCTCACAGGGTCAGCAAATGAAGCCCCCCACTCCCATCACTCTCTTCACCCCCACCTGGTCCAGGAACATTTGGCAACCAACGTCATAGTGGCCAACAACACGATACCAGCGCAGCTACAAAATGGGCAGATGTGTAAGTAGGCTAAGCTTCACCATGGTTCCCTCTGCACAGGCTACTAGGATTAAAGTGTACCTGTCACCCCGAGGCAGGTTATTTTTTCTTTATATATTCAGCTTCTGGTATTCTGACCTGGCGCGATGGCATCAGACTTTCTGCCCATAATGCCTCATGTGATATCACTAGGTCAGAAAGACCATCCCCACCACATGTGCACTTTAAGAAGCATTGTAGGCAATGCATTGTCGAAATTAATGCATCATTTTTATACCTTTTGTTTACATATACTGTATATGCCAAAGCAATATCAATAATGTAATCAATGTTTGTTAATGCTTTAGAAAACCTTTCTATGTATAATTTATTTTTTTCTGTATGCATTGGGGAGCCATTTTGGCTCATTATATACACAGCTCTACTCCCTGCTTTACAGATCTACACAATTGTTGTGTTTTACTGTTCCTTTATACAATGCAATGACTTATACAATGACTTAAAGAAGCAGTTGCATAGAGAACAGCTATGCAAACGAGATTCGCAGAGCGCTATTGCCCTCAGATGTAGCCCGCTCCCCGCTTTACAGATCTACACAATGGTTGTGTTTTACTGTTCCTTTATTCAATGCAAGGCTATGGGGATGAATTACAAAGCAGTTGCATAGAGAACAGCTATCCAAACTAAGATTCGCAGAGCGCTATGGCCACCGGATGTAGCCCGCGCCCCACTTTACAAATCAACACAATGGTTGTGTGTTTTACTGTTCCTTTATTCAATGCAAGGCTATAGAGATGATTTATAAAGCAGTTGCATAGAGAACAGCTATCCAAACTGAGATTCGCAGAGCACTTTAGCCACCGGATGCAGCTGATGAGCAAAGCAAATTCTTATGTTCCTCGGCTCTATCTAGTAGCCATACTGTGCTGCAAATCTCGTTCACATAGCCATTTTCTATGCAAGCAATTTATAAATCACCCCTTAAGTGTCAGCCGACATGTTTAAAAGAGAACTATGAGGTGAGTGCTTTTCACTCACCTCATAGTTCTAGCCGACCTGTGACAATGAAACTGTCACAGGTCGGCTCAGTAGATCGGGAGGTGAGCGAACACATACCGGCATTCGCTCACCTCTCGATCCTGTCACGGCTCTCTGCCGTGACAAGGGAGGGGCTGGATTCCCCCCTGCTCCGATCCGCCAGCGCTGACTGGCGGATCGGACGGGGGAGGGGGCGGGTACAGCTGGCTCTGCCTCTAGATAGGCAGAGCCAGCTGTCAGTCACGCAGCTGGGCGGATCCCGGCACAATTGTCGGGATCCGCTTCAGCTGCGGCGTCTCAGTATACCGCGAGCTACAGCTTGCGGTATACTGAGCTTAGGGTGAGGGGAGGACGCTAGTTTGTGTCCTCCCGTTACCCTAAGGAGAACTATCGGGAAAAGCCCTAACCCCATAGTTCTCCTTTAAAGCAATGCCGTCCCTGTGTGGCAGAATGATCATTTGCTCCCGCTAGTGGCTAAACTACAAATTGCAAATCAAAAATTGCTATAAGGTAGCACTGCGGTAATAATGTTATGTGTGATGGCTGAAAATACACTGGGATATGTATGAAAGTTAAGAAGACTCCACTCTGTGGCCACAAATTAGGACCAACTTAGGCCCCTGGTAGCTACATCTCCTCTTAATTCCTCCACCAGATGACACTTAATAAAGTTCTACAGTTTGAACAAAAGACTTTTAACTAAATGTATTTTCTGTTTTTCCAGCTACACCAGAGACACCACAGCCGTCCCCACCTGCCGGCTCCGGAGCGGAGCAATATAAGATCGTTCATGGTGCCATCTCTGCTCTGTCCAAACAGCCCACCTGTATCCTGCAGCCAACCATCACCAAACAGGAGAGCATGTGACTCACTGCCGTGCCATAATAGCAGTAATCGGACTGACTGCAAGGAGTGCCTTCTTCATAGCCTGGACTAAGATAAGAGCCATTTCTGCCCCATAAGAGTGATATTTCTGGATGTTCTTATGTTTTAGAACTTTTTGCCTTGACCTTTAGCCTCTGAGACATTTATATGTGGCATTGGAAGACTTAATGAGGAAGCCTTTTCTGCCATTACTGCAAGCTAGTAGGCTGGACACTGGTTGAACCCCCCAAAAATGCCTACTGGATCTTTCTAGCACTGCTATATGGACTGCCTAAAACTCGTAAGGGGTGGGGCTTAAAAAGAAGTATGGCTTCTCTTAGATATGGTGGAGGATTGGCAGATTTCCATTGGAGCTAAAGGACTGCGCCATGTTTAGAAGCCATGTGCGGAAAGAAACATACATAGAAGTACAACATACAAGGAGGCAGTTAAAGGAGGCCCCAACAGTTTAGGGGGTCCGTGAACGTATGATGAATCTCCCCCATAATGCAGGTGGCTATAGACTGATGCCTACTGTGCCTAATTATTCTTCTATATCTATACAGCCTTACCTACTGTGAAATTGTCTTCCCTGTGTATCTATTTGTTTCAAAACATGTACTATAAAATGTGGTTTTTTACACTGTAACTTTTTTATTGTTATAAGTAAAGTAAGATATTCAAGTATGGATACGTAGCATATTGACACAATGGTTTCCTGCTCATTCGTTGTGTCTCTGTTGCTCAACACAACCAAGCACACGTTTGCCTGTGGTATGGAGAGCAAAAGACTACCACTAGGTTCATAAAAAGAGGCATGCATAGACACAAACACACCGTGCCAAGGGTGGGACACCGTTCACAAGGGGCCTTTATCCATGAACCATCTGGGGCACAAGGCTCCTAACGTGGACAAGGTACTGTAGGTCCACCTAGCCAAAACCATATGGAGGCCCATCCTTGGGGATCACCAGAAACCAAACCACCAAGTACACGGCTGGAGCTCTCAATAATTTTTTTTCCCCTTAATTATATTATCACATGCTATTTTGCTGCCCACCTATCGTCCCCAAGAATCCTAGTTTGCCTTTAGGGCTTAATCTATCATTTTTTTAGCCCTTTGGACCTGGCTGCAGTACAAACAGATATGTTACCCCCAAGGTTGTATCATTGACAGCCACAGGACACTGAATTACATATTTACCAAAGCCAATAACACTCTTAATAAGAAACACTTTGTGACTACAATATGCTTAGGCAGGTCCTCAAAATGAAGGACTGAGCTGTGGGAAGGTTAAATCATGCTCTACCATAGCACTAGGAATGCACCCTTGTGCCTATTGTAAGATCTCAGACCCCGCAAGTCAAACTGACAAATTAGCTATAGAGTTTAGCCCAGTTACCCAACATACTGTATATTGGCACTGCCAAATTTGGCCCTGTCATCTAAGCGGCACTGAACTCTGGACACGAAAGGGGTTGTCCACATGATCAGGAAATGGGGAAATCTTTCCACTGTTCTGCCGAAACCAAATTAGAAAGACTGATGCTTCCTTTTCTTCTTAGACACCAAATGATCAGCTGTCTAAAAGTAGCTCCCAGTGCTGCTTGAATGTGTATGTCCCAATGTAGCCACATCCCTACAGGAAAAAAAAATCTCATCAACTGTAATATCCCAGCTGCTTCAGAATTGCTTTAGTACACCCCCAAAACCGCTGATTGTAGAGTACCAATTAGGCCAATGATCCTCCTTCCAGCTTGAATACAACCCCAGACCAACTGATTGTGGGTTAGGGTACCAGCCACGCCACATCTGCTCCTTCCAGCTTGAACACAAGTCGAAAACATCTGATTGTAGGGTACCAACTGGGCCAGCATTCCTCCCAGTTTGAACACAACACAAAAACATGATTGTGGGTTAGGGTACCGACTGGACCAATGTTCATTCTTCCAGTTTGAACACATCCCAAAACAGCTGATTGTGGGTTAGGGTACCGATTGGGACAACGTTCCTCCTTCCAGTTTGAACACAATCACAAAACAGCTGATTGTAGGGTAGGGGACCAATTGGGCCAACATTCATCCTTCCAGGTTGCACACAATGCTAAAACAGCTGATTGTAGGGTAGGTTCCAATCAGGCCAAGTCTCCTTCTCCCAGTTTGAACACAAGCCCAAAACAGCTGATTGTGGGGTGGCGTACCAATCAGGCCAACTCTACTCCTTCCAGCTTAAACACAACCCCATAACAGCAGTTTGTGGTCTAGAGTACCAATCGTGCCCATGTTCTGCCTTCCATCTTGAACACAGTAAAGGAGGTCTTCCACTTTTTTCATTGAAAGTAGAAAGCTCCTTCAAGTCAATCTTTTTAAAGAAGCAAACCCACTGCCTTGCAAATTCTTTCAAAAAAATGTTCACTGCCAATAACTCCGTATTCTAGTTTGGAATATATGTTAAGGCTCTACAAAGAGCAAGGAGGTGCAGCAACTCATGACAGCCAAACAAAATTCTGGTCTACTACCATGCAGAAGGCAGACTATTAAAAGTTGGTTGCCAGGGGTTACCGCACAATGCTGCTTTTCTTGGCACATACATAACATCTGTAACAATAATTGAACTGATTGACGCTGAGCATCATGGGAGATGCCTTGTTCTACAACAGGCACCAATGCAAGACACCACTGCCAGAACAACCCTCCGTGTCAATCCATGTGCAGACATGTGATACTGTCACTAATTTATTCGTCCCCTGAATGCACTCACTAAATTATTTTTGTACATTTTGCCGATTGTTGCAAATTTACGATTTTCTAAGCCAGTATGTCATAATTTAGGGTATTTTGTAATTGTTCATATTTTTGTGTTATAATTTGATATGCAATGCTTTTAATATAAGCCTCGTATATGGAAATGTCTGAAAGAAGAACTGTCTGTGTTGGACATACGGGCAAATTTGATCCATCCTTCTTTTTTTTTCTATTACTGAAGGTATCATTGATTGTGATGGGTCTTTGGGTACGGGAAGGCACCTTTGGCCAGTTGCCTTTGAGGGAGTGGCCTACGACTTACATAGGACTATTTCAGCCAATCACAAGTGCTTCACCAAGGTTGCTACTGGGGGGTGGCTGATGGTTCTCTGCCCAATGCATGAACGTGCACACTCAAGCATGCACGTTCATCCATCATTCATAGGGAAGCCACCAATCATGAGTTGGATCAATGTCAAACTGCAATCTCGTATATAAAGTAGAACCTGGTCACTATGCAGAGTGCAGACATATTGTCCTTCAGACACTTCCATAGGATATGAGGCTCTTTGTGTTCCGCTGTTTTGACCTCATTTTTTGGTATAATAGTCCTTTTTATGCAATAAAAATGTTTCCTGCCTATAGTTTGTTATGAATAAATGAAAACTTTTTTTTTCTATCTCTGTGTCTCTCATATTTGTATTGTAAAGAACTTTAAAGCGAATGTAGGCACCATAGTTGAGAAGGTTCTTCTTATCGAGCATAGCCGTGGTATAAAACATATTGTGGTCCTGAGCGTCGGTTGTTGCAGCTGGGATAGCCAGGGAGAGTGATGGTAGTTCATATGCGGAGTGCAGGGAGCCAACAGGTCAGAAGCAGGAAACCTCAACACTCCAGCTATGGTGAAAATACAAATCCCATGAGGCCAAACTCTCACAGCCCCAGGCATGACATGGTGGCATTTGCAGTCTCACCACAGCTGGAGTGCTGATGTTGACTAACCCTGCTACAAAAGGATGGAGGACGGGGACTAAGGAGGGTGTGAGTCAATAGGAGCAGAAGTAGAGTGCATGGGTGTTCCCTAGTGAGACTGCAACAGGCAGGAAGCTAAAAGCTTCCTCTTAAAGTGGACCTCCAGGAAGTATACAGTTGTAGATAAATGTAATGTATAGTATACAATAACCTCCACTGTGTCCTTCAATGTCACCACTGAAGTAGACTTCCCCTTCTATGTATTAAAACAGCTGCCTCAGCTTACATGAGGTGGTGAACCAGTATGGCGGTGATCACTCATTGGTGGGGTAGTAGCACAATGTCTGCCAAATATCATAATCAACATTTGTCTTAGAATATTAGGTCATTAGGAGCTGAGACATGCCCTTTAGAATGATGGTCTGCCATGGCTCTCCTGTATTTTTGTACTCATGAAGAAGAGGGACCAAGTCACAGTTGATAACAAGTCCTAACATTTACAAAATCCTCATTATGGCCCCCTAGGGTTTATTCTGACAGTCCTGGTGGCTCCAGATAGCCCCCTAGGGTTTCTCCTGATAGTCCTGGTGCTCATTTTCAGCCCCCTAGAGCTTCTCCGGATAGTCCTGGTGCTCATTATCGCCCCCTAGGGTTTCTCCATATAGTCCTGGTGCTCATTATCGCCCCCAAGGGTTTCTCCGCATAGTCCTGGTGCTCATTATCGCCCCCCTAGGGTTTCTCCGGATAGTCCTGGTGCTCATTATCGCCCCCCTAGGGTTTCTCCGGATAGTCCTGGTGCTCATTATCACCCCCTAGGCTTTCTCCGGATAGTCCTGGTGCTCATTATCACCCCCTAGGATTTCTCCGGATAGTCCTGTGCTCATTATTGCCCCCCTAGGGTTTCTCCAGATAGTCCTGGTGCTCATTATCGCCCCGAGGGTTTCTCCAGATAGTCCAGTGCTCATTATTGCCCCCTAGGGTTTCTCCGGATAGTCCTGGTGGCTTCAGATAGCCCAGTCACCCAAGTACCATACAAGGCTCCACTTTGGGGGTGAAATTGGAAGATTTAGGGCAACCCTTAGGCCGGGTTTTAGGCACAATGGCTTATGTCCCTGTGTAGGCTTCCTTGTGAGTCCCGTACACATCACAATCGGTTTATCTTTACAGCTAGTGTGAAATATCAGAACGGAGCATGGATTGCAGCAGTAAACAACCACCGTGCGTGCAAGCAACCATAAAACAGGGTAACGGGGTTGTCGGTGGAGAAAGGTGACTACGTGGCAATGCTGATACAGCAGAGATTGTGTGCCAGGGCGCGCGGCACCATCAAGGGTCACTGCGAAATATGCCGGGACATTATCTTAACTGCATAGTAACCGCTGTACAATTATCAGTAATAGCTCGCCGGTATCTAGGGGGAGATTAATAAGGGGGAACTCCAGCCAAACAGCTTCCCCGATGTGTAGCAGAAGTCAGTGCAGTCACCTCTACTAGACATGCATCTGGTAGAAGAGTAACTATTCATGGTTGGTGCTTGTGAAATCCGTTCCGGGAGGATTCTGGGTACGTTCAGCCCGTTCATTACACAAGTACAAGTTGTCCGCCAACGATTGCGCTGACTCAGGCAGATAAGTCAATAAGTGATCTTGCAATTCTCAAAGTGGCGACAAAAATAGTTCTTCATGGCACAAACATTAACACGACGCGGTTAGACGTTAACAAGTGCGGGGTTAATCTGCTATCTTCTGTGTTTTTCCTGGTGTCATCACACTTTGGTGGGGTGTCATCATATCTCACCTTGAAAGAAAAAGCTCAGTTTTTGTGAAATTAAAGCAAAGAAAATGATAAAGTGCTGGGATATTAGAACGCGTTATTGTAGATTGATGTAGGATTAGCAGGTCCCTTCTTTAACTAACTGCCCAGTAGGAGGGCCTGCTTTCACTATCCCCACCCGAGCCGTCTTAGTGTTAAGGAGCATCCCCCTTCACCGAACAAGAATCAGAGATTGTATCCCACCACAAATCAATTCCTGTTACAAGGAAACCTGTGATTTTTTTTTTAGGTGAGATTGGAGGGAATGTGGACCCCGGAGGGGACCCTATGAAGTACTATGGTCCCTGCCATGACACAGAGGTCCGCCTAAGGGTCACCATCCATGTTACAATGTGACCATACAATCAACTTTAGATCTACCAAAACGATGCAATATGAACAGGGGCGTCTCGAGGCCGGATGTCACCCGCAGCAGAGAGTGGGTGACACCCGGCGTGACGTCATCGCGCACGCGAGGTCATCACATTGACACCTGCCGGCGGCGCTTCTTGGTGATGGGCGCCGGCAGAGAGAGGAGGGGACGTTCACCCGGCAGGATCAGGTATGCCGCTGGGTCCCCTTCTCTTTTGAAGCCACTGAATATGAACACCTACCCAATCAATCTGTATCCAATCATTCAGGCCCTTGTACTACATAGTTGTTGGTAGATCTGAAGGAGATTGCACAATCCTGTGTGTGGTGAGCTATAGAGTCTTGGAAAGAAGGCAACAAGAAGGCAGCACACACAACTGGAGCACCTGCTCAGGTTCGAGCCCCCATGCAAAGTTCTCCATCCCTCTGAAGACAAGAACATCTATTGTGAATGTCAAGTAAATGTCACCACTGAGGTTGGGGAGACGTTCGAAGAGGGACTGGGAAGCCTATAGGCAGGCACCATTCAGCCTATGAAGGAAACTGTTATTGTTTGAACTCCCCCGGCCCTATTTTCGTCTCTCTAGGCTTTGGAAATACATATTTCTGGGTATGAAGAAGCGAGTAACCTTCCTATCCTTCCAGGGCCCAATCCCCAGGTCCAAGGAAGAAGATCACTAGCAATGTGTAAACTCCAACACATAAGAATCAGGTTCAGGGCTTTGGCACGGGTAAGGTAGGCAACAGTAGATGGGGGGTGGCCCATCAAGTGAACCTTTCCCTTTGCCCTGAATGGGAAAAGTGACAGGTCAGGAAGGTACCATAGTATCACATTGGACAGGGGGGTTGGGACGTACCAATTTTTCTGTACGACCGCGACGGTCCCTGCAAGGACCAGTCACGTACACCGGTGACACCTTGCCGATCCCTGGTCACAACTTCTCCCTTCCACATCTCCCCCCATCCCTGGTCATAACTCCTCCCTTCCACATCACCTCCCATCCCTGGTCATAACTCCTCCCTTCCACATCACCCCCCATCCCTGGCCATAACTCCTCCCTTCCAAATCACCCGCCATCCCTGGTCATAACTCCTCCCTTCCACCTTACTCCCTCTCCCTGGTCACAACTCCTTGCTTCCTCCTCACCCCTTTCCCTCTTCACAACTCCTCCCTTCCACGTCACGATTTTTTCCCCCTGGTCATAACCAGGGATAGGCACGGACCAAGGCTGTGGCGGACATTTTCCAAAGTACAGACCTTTAAAAAACACTCTAGTCTGGTGTGCACACGCCTATGTATACGACAATTCAGAACTGAACCAGCTGTAGACGACTACAATTCCCAGTAAAACATTATACAGTAATGCAGAAAGATTTGAAGTTACATACTCTGTGTTGCTTCAGGTTCACGGCCTCAGAATCATGTCTCCAGGGTCTCAGGATGGATCTCAGGTGGTCAGTACGGGGATCTCTGGTGGTCGGTGCAGGGATCTCTGGTGGGCAGTGCGGTATTTAGTCAGACTCAGGACATTCCAACATACATTACAAAAATCTTGCATTTGATCAAATATGGGAGATAAAAGGGATGCTTTGGTGTTCCCTAAAAAGGCTTCCCCCACCCCTACCCCAGCACCAGGCCCCTCTTCAACCCTGGGCACCAGCTGCTTGCTACTCCTGTGCTGATCTCTGCAGAAGCAGCACAGTAGCAGCAAGCAGGTGGTGCCAAAGACTGAATAGGGGTCCGACGCTGGGGTGGGGCGGGGGAAGCCTTTGCAGAGGACAGCTGCTGTCCCCTGCAAAGGCTTGGCCTACCCCCACCCCAGCGTCTGGTCCCTATTCAGTCTTGGGCACCAGGCCAGCTGCTTGCTTTTACTGTGGTGCACGTGGGCAGGAAGGTACCATAGTATCACATTGGACAGGGGGGTTGGGACGTACCAATTTTTCTGTACGACCGCGACGGTCCCTGCAAGGACCAGTCACGTACACCGGTGACACCTTGCCGATCCCTGGTCACAACTTCTCCCTTCCACATCACCCCCCATCCCTGGTCATAACTCCTCCCTCCCACATCACATCCACCTATCAAGCCATTGTCGGTGGAGAATGTTTATAATTAGCGGGTGGGGCATTCATTTTAGGAGGTATATTGTAATGGAGGTATTTACACTGACCACCAATGTAACAGAGGTATTTACACTGACCACCAATGTAACTGAGGTATTTACACTGACCACCAATGTAACGGAGGTATTTACACCTACAGTTCTTGTATCAGACACCATGATTCCTATGGGCAGCACATACAATTCTTGTAAAGGACATGGGTTGCTATTGCAAACACATTCAGTTCTTAAATAAGACACTTTGGTTGCTATGAGCAACATAGACATTTCTAAAAGCCATCTTGATACATGAGGTCACATATAGTCTACTTTAGCTTACATTGGCAGCCCTACAGCCCAAGTGGCACGGCGCCATGGCACTTTGTTACCTCATGACAGAGCTGGCACGTGACTGGAGCGCCCTCTGCTGACAGCCGCCTAATAATGTCAGCCTGGGACGTCAGCAGGTGCGCGCACGTAGAAGGCGGAGGATAGCGCGCGCCCCCCTTTCATCGCACTTGCCTCTGTAGCATCGTCCAGGTGGGCGGTAGACGGGGCCGCGCACACGTGACCTGTCAGATGAGCGTGCAGGTGAGAAGCTGTGCACCGAGAGGCCGGGAGATGCTGGAGAGGTGACCCGCTCCGCCTGATGACACGGACTCCTCCCCCGTCCTGCAGGTAAATGGTGTCTTCTGTGGCTGTACAGGTGATACCACTGGGGGGGATCTCAATGGTTCATGTATATGTATGATCTATAGACATGTATGATCTGTCTGTGTATCATCTGTAGACCATGTATATGTGTGATCTATAGACCATGTATATGTGTGATCTATTGACGTCTGTGTATGATCTATAGACCATGTATGTGAATGATCTATAGACCATGTATATGTGTGATCTATTGACGTCTGTGTATGATCTATAGACCATGTATATGTGTGATCTATAGAGATCATACACAGGCAGATCATACATGGTCTATAGAGCATACACAGGCAGATCACACATATACATGGTCTATAGATCATACACAGACGTCAATAGATCACACATATACATGGTCTATAGATCATTCACATACATGGTCTATAGATCATACACAGACGTCAATAGATCACACATATACATGGTCTATAGATCATACACAGACGTCAATAGATCACACATATACATGGTCTATAGATCATTCACATACATGGTCTATAGATCATACACAGACGTCAATAGATCACACATATACATGGTCTATAGATCATACACAGACGTCAATAGATTACACATATACATGGTCTATAGATCATACACAGGCAGATCACACATATACATGGTCTATAGATCATACACAGGCAGATCACACATATACATGGTCTATAGATCATACACAGGCAGATCACACATATACATGGTCTATAGATCATACACAGGCAGATGTATACGTGTGATCAATGTATATCTGCTCTCTGTCTACATAGTGTTATTTCTGTGCATCAGTCTGATCATCATGTCTCTGTGTTGTGTTCATCCTGTGTGTGTTGTATTGTTATTTCCTAATCTGTGGAATGTTTATAGTCCGGGTTGTGTCTGTGGTATGTTATATGTGATTTCCATAATATTGACAATTCTCATCAGCTTATTCTGTAGTATCACCCATGATGTCTGTAACATTCACCTGATGTCTCTATCGGGGTCTGTAACATTCACCTGATGTCTCTATCGGGGTCTGTAACATTCACCTGATGTCTCTATCGGGATCTGTAACATTCACCTGATGTCTCTATCGGGATCTGTAACATTCACCTGATGTTTATCGGGGTCTGTAACATTCACCTAATGTCTCTATCGGGGGTCTGTAACATTTACCTAATGTCTCTATCGGGGGTCTGTAACATTTACCTAATGTCTCTATCGGGGTCTGTAACATTCACCTGATGTCTATCGGGGTCTGTATCATTCACCTGATGTCTCTATAGGGATCTGTAACATTCACCTGAATTCTGCCTCGGGGTCTGTAACATTCACCTGATGTCTCTATCGGGGTCTGTAACATTCACCTGATTTCTGCCTCGGGATCTGAAACATTCCCCTTCTGTTGACTGGGATCTGCCTTATGCACCTGATGTGTAATATTTCTGTAGTAGAGGTGCACCGAAATGGAAATTTTAAAACCGAAACGAAACCGAAATTAAAAAAATGTCAGACCGAAACCGAAAATGTTTTTTTATTTTTTCAATTTTTTAAAATATTTTATTTTTTCAATCTTTTTTTATATTTATTTTTATTTATGAATTCATTTTTTATTAAATATTTGTATTTTTTACTTTACTTTTAGGGGCTTTGGGGAAATATTAGGGGTCTAAACAGACCCCTGATATTTCCCTTTTAAAAGAGATTGAGTACACAGAGTCCTCAATCTCTTTTTCTGTGTTCCCTGTTATCAATGAACAGGAATCCTCTGAGTGTTCCTGTTCATTCATAACATGAGAACATATTGTTTTACTATAACTACAATTATGATGAATGGGGGGGATGTAGAGGTGATGTAGATCACTCCCATTCATTCATAATTGAGGATATAGTTAACATGCCATATCCTCAATGATGTACACACACTCAGCGATCACTGAGTGTGTGTGTACATTGCTTTTCTCTCTGACACGCTGCCACAGGAGGCTGAGCGAGCCGTGTAGAGAGGAGAGCTCAGCCTCCTGTGACAGCGCTGTCTCCGCCCCCACACCGCTCTGCCGGAATGTGATAGGCGGCTGAGCGGTGTGGGAGGAGAGACGCCGGCCGCTCACAGAGCTCTCGTCCTGACTCCTGCAGCGCTCGGCCGGCTGTCACTTTCTTTTCTCCCCGCTGGAACAGCGCCCACCGGGGAGAAAAGAAACCAGGTATGAGCCGATGTATCGGCCGAAACATGGCTCTTTCGACATTATGCCAAAAGTGCCATTTTCGGCCGATATGTTTCGGCGGCCGATATATCGGTGCAGCCCTATTCTGTAGTGTGTAGCACAGTGTCCTGTTGGTTGGTGCTGTGACTTTCCAGCACTGGGGGCATGGGACTACTTCCCTCCAGGACTTGACCCGGCCGTGGTCTGCTCCAGTGACACCTGCCTAACGGGATTTCCTGTCTCTTGGACAGGAAGTGAATGGAAATCTCCCCAATGGGAACACAGACCACAAAATTAAATAAAAACCCGACCCTTCCTTATTGTATCCAAAGCTAGAAAAGGAGTGTCTTTAGATACATAATAAACCTCCTGGGAAGATCCAAGGATGGCACAGACCTCCCCTCCCCCATCATGACAGTGTGTGTGTGTATAAGATTCATCTAATCCACCCTTGCTCTGTGTGATTCTCTGACTTGTGTGTCACCCGTGGATCTAGCTCTCCGTCCTGTATAATTATCCGGGCCTGTGCTGACCTGCGTACACATCATGCAATTGCTGCTGCTCTATACAGGTCGCCGTGACATGTTCACCGACAATCTTCCCTTTCATTGGCTCAGCATGTAGTGAATGATTAAAAGCTTATCCTCGTCTTTGATGTTGTGACCTATTTTATTTCTTACCTGATGTTCCTATAGGTCTGGCAAACTCCGGCCCTTCAGCTGTTGTAGAATGTCAAGTCCCATGAGGCATTGCAGAGGAATGCTGGGGTTTGTAGTTTCACCCCAGCTGGAGGCCGAAGTTTGCCTAGCCCTGCTATAGGGTGTGTGGGGTGAATGCCTGGAAATGTTGTTTGGTATGCTGTAGATATGATGGCCATAGACGGATCAATACATTAAACCATTCATATTTTCTCTTCTCTGGAAGCAGTAGTGAACAGCTAATACCTCTGGGCCAATGGAGAGATTTTTCCTCACTTCCTGTCCTAGGGACACAACAGGATGTAAGAGGTTATCTCCGTTAATTGACAGGAAGGTGAATGAGATCCAGCCTGGTTGGAGTTGGACTCAAAGGTGAATAAGATCCAGCCTGGTTGGAGTTGGATTCAAGGTGAATAAGGTCCAGCCTGGTTGGAGTTGGATTCAAGGTGAATAAGGTCCAGCCTGGTTGGAGTTGGATTCAAGGTGAATAAGGTCCAGCCTGGTTGGAGTTGGATTCAAGGTGAATAAGGTCCAGCCTGGTTGGAGTTGGACTCGAAGGTGAATAAGGTCCAGCCTGGTGGGAGTTGGATTCAAGGTGAATAAGGTCCAGCCTGGTGGGAGTTGGATAGATATATCTGTAGGTGGTGGGCTTTTGTTCTCTGTAGAATACTGACCAGTCCTTTTTGTCGTTGACAGCGGCCTCTTATTCAATGGCACAAGACCATGAGACCTCACTAGGAAGTTCTTCTTTGTCCACCTCCCTGGAGGCTGACTCGACCCTCCAAGAGAACTACGTGTGCACTCTGACCCCTGAACTCATCCAGAAGGCCAGAGAGGAACTTCAGGAGAAGCCGGAATGGAGACTACGTGATGTCCAGGCTCTCCGGGACATGATCTGGAAGGACTATCCGAACCTCAGGACCAGGGTGGATGACGTCTTCCTCCTCCGCTTCCTCAGGGCCCGCAAGTTTGACTACGATCGGGCCCTGCAGCTCTTAGTCAACTATTATGGCTGCCGGAAGGGCTGGCCCGAGCTTTTCACGGACCTGAGACCATCTGCTGTGAAGCCGGTGCTGGACTCTGGCTTCCTAACCGTCTTGCCTCAAAACGACATGCAGGGGAGACGCGTTGTCTGCATCCTTAGTCAAGTCTCTATACTGCTTGGAAATATCTGTAGAAATCTTGATCACCGCTTCTTGTTGTGTCATTGTCTTGCCCTCAGGCCGATGGAATCCCCGGGATTATCCAATGACGGAGAACATACGTGCCATGTACCTGTCCCTGGAGAAGCTGATCGAGTCAGAAGAGACGCAAGTGAATGGAATTGTCATCCTGGCCGATTACCAAGGGGTGGGCTTGTCTCAGGCTTCCCATTTTGGACCCTTCATAGCCAAAAAAGTGATTGGGATTCTGCAGGTATGAATAGAACTTCCTGTATAGTCAGCTATTGGCAGTTTAAGTGCACGGATGGGATGTGATGTCACTTCCTGTGACTTTGGTTTTAAAGTGGACCTGTCACAGAATCAAATTCCTGTTTTAGAAACCAGTGGTGGAAGCAGCTAAAGTGGAGCTAAGCTCGCCTGTACTATCTACCCCACCCGTGCTGACATCTTCACCCAGACTTCTTCCAGGTTCAGGATCTCCAGCCATATTGATTGTCTGGGCCAGAATGATCAAACTACTCCTCATGTGCACATGGGTTCATTCATTCTAGCACTGGGGCTTTCCTGCAGTTCAGCTTGAGTCCAAAATACAGAATCTATTACATTGCGTAACCCTCTTTAATAGTTAAAACACTATGGGGCCGATGTATAATCCTTCCTCCCAGTGTATAGCGAGTGAATGCCGTTCGTACGCCATTCCCACCACTAGATGGCGCCAAAGAGCAAAGCCAATTCCTACACTCCTTGGCGCCATCTTGTGGCGATAATTGTGTATGGTAAGGTCTATACATCAGCCATTATAAGAAGGCGAATTCAGCACAGCCGTATTGGTTTTTGCTTCTTCTGAAAGTCAAAACCTTATTGGCCATATTCCCTCCTCCAAGGGCATTCTGCAAGGAGTGTCACTGACTGTAAATTGTCATGTGACCAGTTGGGAGGACTGGTGGGAGGAAGCTAGAACACCCACAGGGACTGAAGACAAGCACGGCGAGAACATGTCAACTCCTTGCAGATTGGGGTCCGTTTACGTTTTCATGACCCAGTGCTGCACTGCAGGATTGCTAATCACTGAGACATTTTGCTGCCCCATTGGTGTTGGAAAACAATCCCCAGGCACTATAGATCTGCACATAGGCACCATAGGGCAGGGGTAGGCAACCTTGGCACCCCAGCTGTGGTCCCATTATCTTTCTGGCAGTTACATCTGTGGCTGTTAGTCTTGCAATGCCTTATGAAACTTGATGTTCCACAACAGCTTAAGGTTGCCTATCTCTGGTCTAGGGGAAACATAAACAGCAGATTTACTCACCTTACCCCTCGCTCCCCTGGAAGGAGACACACTCTCCTTTTAGCACTCTTGATTGTGATTAGTGAGTCACTGAAATAACTGATCTGGTGTTCTGGCCATCAAGTACATGGTTTTAGCAATGCAAGGCAAGTTTGAAATCACTAAGCCACTGTACTGCTTCAATGGCGTCAGACTTAAATATGACATGAGATAAAGCTCTGCACATATGTACTGTAGCAGGGGTGGGCAAACTCCGGCCCTCCAGCTGTGGTGGAACTACAAATCCCATGAGGAAGTGCAAGACTGTCACAACCACAGGCATGACTCTGAGGCAGATGCATTAATAAGAACTTTTTATATGCAGTCCCCCATGACAGGTTCCCTTTTATACATCTGAAGACTTGCCTACGTAGAGGCTGGATTGCAGGGGTCCCTGGGGCGGTGTTGTAAACAATACAGACGCACTTTTTGAGTACTTTCTATGAAGTCAAGTTGCTCACATTGAAGTATCTCTATGTCGGCCATTTGATCTAACTCCGCCTCTCACACAGGATGGTTTTCCGATCAGAATAAAAGCCGTCAACGTCATCAACGAACCGAGAATATTCAAAGGGATTTTTGCGATATTGAGGCCGTTTTTGAAAGAGAAGATTGTGAATCGGGTAAGTGTTCCGTGTACGTGACTTCCCTTTCCTGTAGTGTGATATAGCTCCTGGTTTAGCCTTGTATACAGGGCTGCATGGATTCCAGACAACTCTGGATTCATATTGGATCGGCGGATCCCGACATGAAGTTCTAATTCTGACTTTCCTGATCAGCATGCTTGTTCCAGGTCAGCCTCATAGTGACAGCCAGGCAACTAACATATTCAGAAGTAAGGCAACCTTGGTAGCCACTGTGTGTGTAAACTGATCTCCCTGCTCTCTAGGTCTGTTTTTTACAGCAAAATATATGAGAGCTTAATACGCTGGCGCTTCTGTTTGAGGCTTACCGCCTACTGGCTGCAAGTGGTATATATGAAATATTCATATTTAATATTTCCTGTGCCTGATAGACGGGTCCCTGACCCAACTTTTTTTCATTACAGTTAAACAGCACAGCCTGGTCACATGCCCACCCACAGCCTGTTTATTAGGCATCGAAGCAGCCGCAGCATGTGTTAGATTGACAGCACTGGGCAGTGCAGTAACACCTCATTGGTCCATAGTTCTGTCTTGTTAAAGGCTTGCTGTGCCGGGCATTACATAAACCAAATATAAATACAAATTGAGGTACTCATATGTGTACCAATCCCATGAGGCATTGCAAGACTCTGACGGCCACAGGCATGTGTTGGATTGACAGAGCTGGGGATTCTTGCAATGCCTCATGGGATTTTTACATACGAGTACCTCAATCTGTATCTATATTTGATATATATATGTATATATCAAATATAGATACAGATTGAGGTACTCGTATGTAAAAATCCCATGAGGCATTGCAAGACTCTGACAGCCACAGGCATGTGTTAGATTGACAGTGCTGGGCCACTGTAGACCAGTGAACTATGGACCAATGCAGGTTTAACACCTCATTGGTCCATAGTTCTGTCTTCCCCTCTCCTGGTTAAAGGCTTGCTGTGCCGGGCATTACACAAAGCATATAACTACAGATTGAGGTACTCGTATATGTTTTTGCAACAAATGAAATGGAGATTTTATATATATAAACTGTAAGTATCCTTGCAGGTATTTTAGACTGCTTATTTTGTCCTGTTTCCTGTCCAGTTTTTCCTGCACGGGTCAGACTTGAGCTCTCTCCACAGCAACGTGCCGAAGGCCATCTTGCCCGATGAATATGGAGGGACGGCGGGCAAACTGGATACCTCTGCCTGGAGTCAGATCCTCCTGGCGTCTGAAAATGACTTTGCACAAGGCTTCTACCAGGCCGACCTCGCCCGCGACGGCTCCCTACAAGGACTTGTCTTGAACGATTCCGAGTCCGACTACCTGCAGTGCGAGGAGTCCGCTCGTGGGGTGAAATCTCAGCTCTATTGTTACTGAATAGTATTTTTTTTTGTGTTGTCGGTTGTGTCGTACAGAAGAGGCCTCGGTATTCACACCCTTTCCTGTATCCTCATTTTACCTGATTTACTTGGCTGCTGTACAATCCTTCATGCTCAACCCTAATAATTGTGGTTCCTGTCGCCCTCCACGCAGTTTAAAAAAACAAAAAACAAATCCATTTGATCCATATATAAATAGTGCTGTTTTAATTACCTGGGAACTTTTTTAAATGGGAAGTTCCCATCAAACCTAATACGTTGGCTGAATTCTGAAACCAGGCTGTCAGTGGGCGTGTCGGTACTGGCTGCAGAAGTGTTAGAGAAGGATTAAGGAAACCTTTCCCGACGGTAATATTGCAGCACTTAGTAGACCCTATGAGCAGGGTTGAGTGCTGCAGTAGAACAATGGTTAGTAACTGAAGCTGTGACCTGTTGACCGCTGCAAAACAAATCCAAGCTCCATGTTTTTCGGGGGCTGCCCAGTCACGTCAAGGCACTGGTCAGAGTGGGGTCAATCTTTAAAGGGACCAAAATCTTTAAGGGGACTTAAAACTTTATAAAGGACATTTGCTGTCCTTGTTAGCAAGCACATTCCCTCCTTCCAGTTGGGTGAATGTTCACATAATGTTTATATACAGACCCCAGTATCCTGGCCAAAGGGGATTGGTGGAGTGACATTCAGGCTAACATTGGCTCACCCTCAACATGGAACCTTGCCTTTTTAAATGAGAACGTATGGCCAACTGTCATGGAGGAGGACACAGCAGCTTCATTATCGGCTTTGGACAGTATTTCACAGCTTCCGTTACTATGTTGGTATAGGCGAGTCATAAACATACATTAGGACATGAGTTTAAATCTGGATATCTTATACTGCAGTCTTATGGTTCGATTACAGAGGGAGGTACTCGGGCAGCATACAGAGTTCAGCCCCCCTCCTTCCAAAGTAATGGCCATCTAGAAGAGAAAAGGGAGTGCGTATGTTGACCACGGCATGCGGTAATTGCCAAATGCCTGGCTTTTAATTAATTTCCTAGATTTATCAGGAATGTAAAAAGGGTCTTCAAAGCACTTTTCAACTTTTTTTATGTTTTTATTTAGAAAAACAGACCAATGCAAATATTTTACAATATTGAGGTTAGAATTACAAGGTTACAATTTGAACTTGTGTAGTGGCAATGTATAATTTTGAGTTTAATGCTCAGGCCGATATGATAATGTTGACTCATTATGAGGTGACCATGTCTTGTTTCGATGGTGACCATGTCTTGTTTCGATGGTGACCATGTCTTGTTTCGATGGTGACCATGTCTTGTTTCGATGGTGACCATGTCTTGTTTCGATGGTGACTATGTCTTGTTGGAAATACAACTCCAGTGCCTCTTGTAGCTATATGTGATCCTGGAGGAATGTTTGGGCCTAGGGGTGCTCCAAGTTGGAAGGTTCATAGTAATACATCACTAGGTCCATCCTTAACATAATATGGAGTTGTGAGAAAGAATTCAGAGAAGACATGCATGGTGCTTCGGCTAATTCATCTTTCTGCAGGATAGCCATATGTCTTTCTTTTTAACATGAGTGACATGTCCATTTATGTGGACCATTTGACATAGGCATGTGTCTTTCGTTTTAACATGGGTGTCAGGATTGTGCATATGGACCATTTGTCATTTAGGTGCCATGCTTAGAAAACATCCACTGTTGTATTGATTAGTCTTGTGCAGTAATGAAGGAGATCCACTCACCCTATCTGAAACAGTCCAGGCCATCTGGTTGACACCTGGCCTCTTGGCATACATGACAGATAAGACCAATATCAAGGTATTTGTAAAGCTTATTTTCCTGGAGACACCAAAGAATGCTGGCAGTAGCATTGCAAGGTGTTTTCGATGCGAACAGTGAAACGGCAATAAGTGTAGTGACTGAAGATGGCCAACCCAATGTAAGATGAAAGAAGATCAGTTAAGAGCTTTGATTGGTTGCTGAGGGTCGTTGGAGTTTGTACACTTCCTGTTCGCTGTCTAACTGAATACACTATTAGTGGGTCTCCGCATCTGAATATAACCCAAAAGCTTGCTTGGATCTTCCTTGTTGTTCAGGTAATTCATAAGTTAAGGTTTCAGGAGCCTTGTTTGAGACAGACGATGGCTTCTTCCAGTGTGCAAAGGCAACAAGGCACTTTGGGTCAATGGTTTGATCCCAGATGTCCCAGGCCATTTTTTTCATGCTGCGGTTCTGTTGATGGGATTCTTCTCAATCTCACTCAGAATATGATTTCCTCCTCTATACCACGGTAGAGAATGCAACACATTTTGGGTGGTGGGGAAGGCAGGGCAGTACTTGGTCACTTGCTATGGCTAATTCAACATAATCCCGGGCAGAGCGGACTGTTTAGCACTTGGACTTCTATACACATGGGGAGAATTTAGCTGGATAGAAAGGTTTGTGCCTTTTTGAGGAAATCAATGTAACGACGATACCCTGTTGGGTGTAATCTTCCTGACATCCTGTATCGCGCTGTGGTTATACATTTTACAGAATTGCATGTCTTTGGCCTGAGCTGTGAAGCAATGACTTCTGTGACTTCCATGTTGTGAACTGATAAGAAAGATATTGCGTGTACTGTAAACTTAGTATTTCACATCACCGCCTGATCTGTTACTGTCAGGAAACGGTGGTGTACAAATTGAGGTCAGCAAGCCCCGTTTAGAATGAAACAAATTGAAACACTATGGCAGCTTTTTCTTCTCGCCACTGAAGTCTAGACCGCTTTTCCAAGCAGGTGCTAAGATACTCGGCATGTGGGCAGCCATTTTGAATAAATAATTTGCAGTGGCTGGGGCTCACGCGGCTTCCGATTTTAAAATAGGTGTCAAACTCTGCGACGTTTCCCCGGATTGTATTGTGAACTTAATATATAAAGTCAGTTTATTCATTGTTCAGTCTGCTTTACAGCACAGTAATTCTCTTTACATCCTACCAGGGTGCTTCCGGGCATTAAAAAGTGCCAATAACAGATACCTTATAAAAATGCAGGGCTCCTCTTTGTGCCATGCTGCCAAAGCTCCATCCATCAGGATCTGGTGAGAGATTTTACCCGGAATAAGGTGTAAGTGGAATGGTTTATATAAAGTTTTGGGGGTTCTTTTTATGAGGTCTACTAATCTCTGTAAATAAACAGGAATTTCTCTCCCCGTTCAGATGTACAGCCGACAGTTTTCTGTGTGGAGGGGAGGGATTGGTATGGGGACCTATTCTAGATCACAAATCAGCTGTTGCGCATATTGTAAAGCATGTAAATATCTAGATGAGTCACATTAAGCTACTTGTATTTCTGGTTTACTTTTTATGTAAAGTGCACGTCGTCCACAATAGAGGTGTGCCCTTATTGGTTGTCCAAAAAAAGGCAAGTGCTAAGCCAGGGGAGGAAGCCTGTCCACCCTGATGAATTGATAGGGTAAAAAAAAAACACCTATCGCGGTAAACTAAAAAGTTATATTTAGCCTATCCAACTCCATTTTGATATTGGTCACATGTCCACTTAAAGTGATCCTATCAGCCATTCTTACCAATTAGATGTAAAACTCTTACCTTTATTAGCAGAAAAGCCTCTTCTGAATGCCCCTTCCATGCTCGTCTCATTGTTTCAAAAGGGCTCAACTCCCCCTGGAGTTAAGTCCTACCTACCCAGTGCTCAACAGGATGCATTGGATAGGAGGATGGGTCTTGGCTCCAGGTGTGGGCTTAGACCTGCAGATGGAACGTCTCAACTAGTTCAGCGAGATCACCAAAGTGGTCAGAAGCATGCATTGGACAAGAAGAGGGTACGTGGGACTAGTCTCCAGGGGCTGGCTTATATTTGCAAATAGAAAGTTGCATCTAGTTCAGTGAGAGCGCCAACGTGATCAAAAGGATGCATTGCTCAAGAACATGGTAGGTGGGACTTGTCTCCAGGGGTGAAGTCAAAATGGGGCATCAGAAGGGTTTCCTAACAAAGGTAACAGTAACTCTCTATGATGGAGGACCTAAAAATGGCTTACAAATTCACGTTAAAGGGTACCTGTCACAGTTCAAGCTTACATCCAGCTGCCCTGAAAAGTCCCTGTAAGTAGTATGTGATTGGACATAGAGTTGATGATTTGATTAAGGTTCAGGTCACAAAAGAGCTTTCTAAGCCAGTGATTTCCCACAGACAAAACTATTTTCCTTCTGATTGTTTGCTGGAGTCAGAGCTTTCCTTGCGGACTCCACACTGAACTGGTACAGAGACTCCACGAGGAGTTGACAGGCTGTGAAATGTCACTGGAAAGTGTCTCTATATATGGTTTTTAGGGAATCACTTGTCTGCATAGGTATATTTTGCTTGGTATATAGGAATATTTTTATAATGGCAGGGTAACATTTCCTATCTAAAAGGGGGGGTAAAATTTCCTTTTTTTTTTTTTTTTTTTTTTTTTGTGTCATTCAAGGTTTAAACGCCATACATAAGCCAATTCTGCTTCCTCTTTGGTGTACTTACGGCCTTTTCCCTGAACATATTGGGGGTTAGGTGCAGGTTAATGATGGTGTGTATCTAAAAAATACAAATCTAGGTCAATATATAATACATAGTCAGTGTACGGTTTATACGTTCCCTCAGAAATCTGTCTTTCTATTCCCAGATGAAAGCTGAAATCGGGCTTTCAGGGGGTGTTTCTGTCTTGTGATGGGTGGGAGGTACTAAGGGAATAGCATCAGTGGTATGGAATCAGGAAACACATCCTAAGAGCTAAGATACCCATGCCAATGTAATCTCCGTCCTCTGGGAGCTTGCCACTTGTTGGCTGACCCATTTCCAGCACCTTGGAATCATTGTGTCACCAATAGGGGTAAGTACCACTAAGTGGTTGAAGCCTGGTTTTGGATAGAGTGAGGATGACTTGCATTTGCGATCATTTTTAGTTCTGTTTGTGACCCCATAGAGGAGAATTTTCCCTTTCTTCCTGTCTCTGTGTAGTGCATTCTTCTGTGTCCCCGTTGGCGAAAAGTTCCCAGCACTGCCTGTCCTGACAGGAAGTAAGGGGACATTCTTTCAATGAGCGCACAGACAGTAATAAAAACATTAGAGACTGTAACTCTTCCTCACTCCATTCC